TTCCAGAAATGGTGGGGCATTTACATTTGCAAGCTATGGATGAGAGTTTGAAAGGAAAGAACCGGGAGGGACTGCTTGATAGTCCGGATTCAGGACTCCCTCCAAGCCCCAGTCCACCCTTCTACTCTCTGTCACCGGGGATCCTCAAGTCACGCTCCGGCAGCTGCTCAACCCCAAATGAGCTGCAAGGATACTGCAGAAAGGAGAGCCGGGAAGGCAAACTGGTATGCATTCATCTAATGAAGCCTTAGAGCTTAAATGAGACCCAAGAAGGCCATGTTCCTCAGTCAACATCCTGTGCTGGCAGTGGAACAGTTTTCATATCAACCAATCGGTGCACTGATTTTAGGGGTAGGGTTAGGGTACTGCTTGTTGTCCAGGAAAAGGATGTTGATGCAGGAACCTCCTCTACTTGGGTAAATCATGTGCAGTATTTAGACCCATGCATGATGACTATGAGTGCTATCAGTTTTAAAAGGGGATAAAACAATGAAATCAATAAACATAATGCAATATGTTTGCCTTTTTGAGTATGGTTATTTTGCACACACTTGTGACATTGGAACTGTGTGTTCATGTGTGGCTTTGGAGATATGAGCTGTATGTCATCCAAAGGTTTTAGATCCAGTTGTTGTCTTCCATCAGTTTTGTCCTTTGACAGATGAACTTGCACCTTAAATGCACTCATTTAGGTCACTATGTAACAGATGTAGTGGCAGATATTTTTTTGATATTTGTTGATTATCTGAAATGTGAGTTTGAGGTTGATCGCAAAAAAGCAAGGGGTTTAAGTGGACTACAATACAATTAGAAGATCAATATTGTGCATTAAGAAAAAAGGCATTTCATACTGATTTTAAATAACGTCATATCAGTTGTAATACTACTATCTGTTGTAATGGAAGTTGGGATATTTACAATTTTATAGGGATGCACGATATTATCGGACTGATATCGGAATCGGCCGATAATGGCTTTAAATGTAAATATCGGCATCGCCCGAATTGAAAAATTATGCCGATATGTCTTGCCAATAAGAGGAGCAACTCACATGTGCTCAGGGTGTGCTAGCGATTAGATCACGTCAACAGAGTGGCTCATTCTTGAAGCAAAGTTTGGTCTGAATGATGATTAGATTCACTGTTTTGATCGTTGCATTTAAACTGAGAATGCACGTACAGAATGAAGCGTTCGGTGTGTGATAGAGTAAACAGTAACAGCATGTGCAGCGGCAGCAGCCTCCCCCGGGTCCTAACGCCCGCTTTGTAAGGAGTTTTAATCCCGTAGGGGGCGCTGTTGGCCTACTTCTAATTAAATGAAAGCAAAATACACAAATAATATTTAGACTGTTTCTGATTAAACAGAGCAGTAATTGATGCCATAAAATGATGAGTATGTTTTCATTTAAAGATCAGAAGCTATAGCTTACAGGAACAAACAAAAACAAAAAAAAATTGTATATATACTGATTTATTCATTCATGTGTAATATGTTATATTTTTAAACAAATTGTGAGCTCTAAAAGATTTTCAGAATTTTTACAACTCTTTTGCTTTAGACCATTTACAAATGTTAAACCTTAAAATAAAATGTTAAGGTTACTACTGCATCTTTCTGGAAAAAAAATGCAGTGATTAATATATAGTTTATTATTTTCAAATCTTCAATGTACTGTCATTATAAAATAACTTTATTATTGTTTATTTAATTCTAACAAATAAGTTCTTGTTAAAAACTAACCAAATCAGTTACTCATTCATACTTGCAGCATTCAAACTGCTTCTGTATAAACAGGACAATTGGACAAAGGACGTGAGCAACCGGTGGTTAAATGAAGTAGTTAAATTCAAAACAACATGTTAGTATAGAAGTACATATGCAGTTCGTCATAAACACAAACAGACACTATTGACAGTGTGGAGGCCAGGGACAAATAATGAGAAGTACTAGGGCAGAATCCTGAAATAGAAAGGGGTTCAGGTGCTCGTGCCTCTGGAGACTCACTCTAATGAAGCAGGGATGACAAGGAACGACCAGAGAGAGAGAGTTTCTGTAAACAAGTTGACCTTGTGTTTGGTGAATGTGGTAACTGTAACCGATCTCTCTCTGTCCCTCATAGCTTCCTCATGGCAACCCTTTTACAGCACATACACGCGTGCAAACAAACAAGCAGTGCTGAGACACACACACACACACACACATATATATATATATATATATATATAGTACTGGTAGAGTATTACTAGACAGCGCATGTTCGCGTTACAGTATAGCACCGCACAAGTGCCTCAGCATAACCCAGAGTCTTATTTCTGCCTCTGAAAGGTTGCGTAGCACGCTAAACTAACAGTGTCCACATCTGACTCGACCATCCATTCAAATCTGTATTGGAATCCTGGCAGTGTCTCAATACTTCAGAGTAACCACAATGCTAGAAGATTCATATTAGCATAGAAAGAAACCTTTTCCAACACTTATAGATGCATCTTCTAGAGCAGTGGTTCTCAGACTGGGGTACGCATACCCCTGGGGGTACGTGAGGTGACGGAGGGGGGTATGTGAACAAAATTCTGAGTTGAATTCTTCCCCAACTTAAAGTAACATTAAAACCGAAAATGTCTTTCTGACAAGCAAAATGCCGCTTCTAATGTAAAAACAGGAAAATGGGAGTGCCGTAAACGGTCAAATACATGATATCCAATCAGCTTAGGCCTACCTCATCTTTTGCTGTCAAAACAGACACAAGCAGCGTGCGTATGATAGGATGCCCGCTGAATATGCTGCTTTAGCAAATCGCGCTGCTGTTCACTGTATCTTTAAAGTAGATCTTCACTTTATAGCATGAAGAGCAAATATTGACACGCACTGTACATTGAGATCGATTGAAACTCTCTTCGATAAAGACACCCTTTGCGAGTTTAAAATATGAGCAAGAATGCAAATTTCCCTGAATATCCAAACGATGGCAAATGTGACATTAATTTTTACAACAGTTCAACAAAAACAGGTAATATTGAGTGAACATTTTTCATTTTAAATGTAGCCTACATTTTAAACAGAATATTGTCATGTTTGTTATATTTTGCAACGAAATAATAGTTCCAACGAAATCCGTATCATCTGGTGTGCATCTCCAAGCAACATACAGCAGTGTTTTGTTAGTGAACGAATCTGCGGCTTTGAACGATTCGGAGAGTCAGTGATTAACCCCATTCATAACTACAGCATTTTGCTTCGTTACTGAATGAATGAATGACGCGACGCCTGGCTCACTAAGACAATGACTTGCCGCCACCTATTGGCGGTTTTATTTTTAAGTCTACAAGTAGGCTATCACTTTGATTTGCCATCATTTATTACTTTATTTATTATATTAATAATTAACACTTAATGGAATGTTAAGAATATGACATAAAACATGACATAAGATACAATTAATACAGATAGAAAATATTTGCCTCTATATTTAAGGGGGCAAATATTGTCCTTTAATAGAAAAGGTGTAACTGCGGTCTAAGTGGAAGAGAGGGGGTACGCAGAAGAATGTTAAATGCCCCAGGGGGTACACCGCTCTAAAAAGTTTGAGAATCACTGTTCTAGAGCAAAAAAAAAAAAGTTTTCCCTGAGAAAACACAGCTCGGCACTAACAAAACAACAGCTTCTTTTATTAAACACATTCCGGTTTCCATTGCTCGACTGTTAACGTGATTGAGCTGCATTTGTGCAGCATAAATGCTTTGCCCGAGCATGCCGCTAAGAGCAAGTATCTAAAGGCATTTTGGAGTGTATAAATGATCACTCAGACACTCCTGTTCAAGAAACATGCATGCTCTTGTCGGGACGCCGCTGTAATAAAGCGTCTCACTCGATACAATAGAAAAGATCAGCATGACTTTATTTGTGCAACATGAATTTTTCATGGTTTTAAGCAGTATGTCTTTAACACTTTGGAAAGCTCTCATGCCAACGTCAACAAAACATCCCTCTGTCGCAGTTCTTCAGAATATGCGGTTTCCAAAATCCTATTACTTAAATGTATACAAATGTGGTGGAGCCTGCAGGCAACATGCAGTATATGAGGACCAAGTGCTCTCTCAGAGTAAAAAAGAAAACGTAGGCATACAAAGCCATCATTGTTTGCAGCACTTTGTATTTTCCGTCCATGGCAACCTTGCTTTGCAAAGGTTTGTCCATCCCAGCATGTATATACAGTATACTATATGCAGTATACATGTTTGCAGAGGATATGTCTGCCTTTTTCCTCTCATTTTGTGGCTGCAGGTCTGTTTCGAGAGTTGTGTTTGCATAACTTTAAAAAAAAATCTCTCCAATCTATTTTAGTGTGGCAGGCCTAACAGCAGAGCTGTTGCAGTCAGTTGCATAAGAAACTGATGACCTCTGTTTGCTGAAATTAAAGAGAAGGGTGCAGTGGCACCTCAAACAAAGTATGCTGCTTTATGAGAACTCATAAGGGATGCATGATAATAAGCAACTTATCAACAACTTCTGTTTGTACATTTAGATCATCTTTGCTGTCTATCTACAGCTCACTTGAAAGTTATTCTTTAAAAACGCGAATAATTTGATAACTGTTAGCAATTGTATATTTTATATATATTGCTTTCATATTGTATATTACAATGCTGTGATGCCTTTACTTTTAAAACTGATTTTAGTTTTTAGTGCTTTATGCTTTAGACAAAATAGTATAGATTTTTAATATCCTTTTATGGCTGGGCGCTATGGGCAAATATTCATATCTCTGTATTTTTTGGCCGATTTGCAATATATGGTATATATCGGTATTTTTGTTTTTGTTTTGAAAAAAATCTGTATTTAATATATATATATATATTTCACTTACCGCCC